AAGAAAGATGAAATAATGAAATTTGCAGGTAAATGGATGGATCTAGAAACTGTTACACTAAGTGAAGTAACAGACTCAGAAAAATAAAAGATGTATGTTCTCACTCATTTGTGGATCCTAGCACCAAATCCTTTTAAATTCCATGTCCTTTTGATAAGATGATACTGTACAGCAGTCTCTTCTGCATGAAATAACTACCATCATCACTTCAGCAGTGCCCGATTGCTAAACATCATCACAATTGGGGTTGTTGACGGTTGTGCTCCTTCATTAAAGGAGGGGCAAGCAGGGTCAGTGGACCCTCACCAGAGTATCCAGCCACTCTTCCCAGCCCACTCTATGTAATTTGGCCCTAATCTCCTGGATTTGGGGAGGGCTAAAGTATACAATCTGGGGAAGGCTAGGAAGAGAAGGCTTGACTCATGCTGGGTAAAGGCTTTCCAGTGTGCATACCCTCAGGTCACTCATACACCTCAGCAACCCCTCAGTTATCTCAGTAAGCTCAGAAAATTCATTGGTTCCCCAGAAAAACTTTAATCAAACATTGATTTGATACTAGAACTTTAAAAAGGAATAAGCATTGCTTAGTATCCCCAGGAAAAGAATTCTCACAACAGATAGAAAATTTACTTATTAATGTTATTATGTCTCATAATTAGTAAAAAAAAGAAAATTAGAATGTAAAAGATGTTAAAATGATATGGAAATGGAAATATTTTCCGAAATAGAAAAAATGAAAAAGCCTAAGCAAGTGATGAAGGTCTGTGTGGGTTTGTTATGATATATAAAGGATGAGACAAAAGTAATATACACATAATCTGAAATATTCTAAGGTCATAGTTTAGTCAATTAGTTTAAGGAACAAAATATGTATCGAGTCAAAATTTATCTGAGAATATTTGGTTTTGTACCCAAGCTTTATCTATGTAGCACGTGGTAATTAAAAGTACCAGACTGGTGGAACTAACCTTCTTGGATGTTTAACAGGCATACTTTGAGGCCTATACTAATGTGGTCAGAGGGACATAAAGGACAGTTTTTACCCCTTGTCCTCCTAGGTTGACTAGTTCCAGGGGACTATGGAGCATCTCTCAAAATGTCTTGTTAACTGGTGAGTCCTGTCCTCTTGTTCACGGAGACCAGCCCTTCTCTTGGCCAATCACTCTGTTCCCTGCATTGCCACGTTAGGAAATGCCAATCCTCACAGAAGCTTACCACTGAAATTCTATTTTTTCTTGGGGGGGTCTGATTACTTTTTTAAAAAATTATTTATTTAGTAACCATATAATTAGAAGAAGCATTTCATTACAACAGCATTGACATATTCAATAGCAATTTCCAGAGCTAAGATGCAGAGTGGCCAAAGGGACTCCCAGATAGACTCCCAGATAGATTCCCAGCATAGAACTGGGAAAATGAACAGCAGACCCCAATCTTATCTAAATGAATATTGACAACTGATTGCTGCTAGATGAGGAAAAGTTGATCGTCCTAAAACAAGGATCTCTAGATAGGCTAACCAGAC